ACTGGAGAGAGAAAATGAATTAGTAAAAAAGGTGAGCATGATAATCGGTTGGGGTAAGGACGCTCGGTAACGCGAGTGCTCTGAATCAGACGAGATGAAATCACATAGGACTTGAAGAATAAATCTTCCTATAAAGCTGCAAGGCTACCTTTCGCTTTTGGAGCGGTGCGATTCCGCCTGTTCACAATATTGTAGTTCCTTAGTTAATCGCAGCTATCTTACGCGGACCTGATGGGTGGTTTGAAATGCAATCTAGAGTCCACGCAAAGGTCTGCCTCCAGCAAATTCTGTAGAAATCCTGAATTTTTGTCAGTTTCTTGAGAAGTCCAAAATGTGTTCAACGTCCAGTGACGTTAGGCGCTGCACGGGAACAAATGTATTTATGACATATGTGGATTCAGACGGACGCGGCTTTTGATCGTCGAGCATTCTGGCAGCAAGGGGAAATTTGGATACCTCCTTGTAGCTAACATATGCTACCAAGAAGGCACAAGACATCTGGACTAAGTACAGTGCAGTTTTTATCACCACTGTTGTCCACTCGTCAACACCAACAAAGTGAACACCTGCTGGTTTACCTGCATGTTTCATATGCTTTCCAGTAATCAAGGAAGGCTTTCTCATTTCCGTACGATCCAATAAAGGAAAGGGATCAACTCGTGTATACAGTTTTGTTTTGGCTGAATTACAAGCGACCCATTTTAAATTTGTGGTACATATTGTCAAATCATTTACGTTTATCACCAGTTTCCACCTTTTATTCCTCCATAGTTTTTGGAAATTTATGTGATTTTCAGAACCTACTCAAACATTCCGGTAAAGATACCGATGAAGCCAACGTGGTTACAGCAAAACTGCCTTTAACTTGGCGTCCTCATGAGTACATACTAATTTCTCGGTGGCCAAAGACTGCCGTATCATCCATAAATCAATAAAGAAGTACCACATTATACTATTGGGTATCAATCCAATTTGCGGCCAGATTAAGTTGAACATGCTATGTGCTATTTAGATCCTGAAACTGTGCTTAAAAATTGCGGCTCACCCATATGTCCAGATAAGATCAATGACACCAATACGGATATAAATCAGTAAGATCAACTTAAAAACCCAGTTTGACAGGAGGCTAAATAAAGCCTTCAAATGGCAATGTGGTTTTTGTAACCAAAGAGATGGTCATTAAGTAAAAGTTCATCCCTGTCGACATCTACTTATCCCAGTTCCTTCTGTATGAAAAGACGAGATGAACTTTCCGAAATACAACGCATCTCTTCTTATAAATCGGCATACGAGGAATTTTTCTGAATAACAACTTGGAGGTGCCGTAACACTCAGGGCACGTTGACCAGGCATGTCGATACGAAACCCCCTAAGTGAGCTCACGTCGTCTTGGTGTAATAATCTCATTATGCCTCCTAAGCTCTCCGTTACTTCAAACTTGAGCACTGCGATCCCTTTGCATGGATGTTTGTACCTGATGCCTCATTTATCGAGGCCAGTCGAATAAAACAGTGTTTTCTTACATAGTGATACATCTCCACATCGCTATCCTTGATTGGACCTATTCATCAAATATGCCATGCCATTCAGACATAACAATATTCTTTGCACTTGAGATAATCCATCAAATGAGCTGATTTTCATCCTCAACATTTTTTAGGCGATAATTATTCAGATGTGCCTCTCCAATAAGCCAAAAAATCAATAATCATACCCCATCAAACAATGAGGCAACACAGAGGTCACAGAGTCTGCTGTTGCACCGAAGGACATTGCTGTGCGCAGGCACACAATTCTTCCCACCTACCGTGTACCACTATAGGTTTTCACCACACACTAAGACGGACACATAGAGACGTAAGTCTTGTTTGTACTCAGCTGTTTACTTGTTCCACTGGTCAGAGCACCATCGAGCGAGTGACAGGTTCTCTATCACACATGGCATTTTTGTCCGGCAACGATACTCACACGGATTGGCAGCACTTCATTTTTTAGCATGTTGGCTAAATATGGGAAAACGCGAAAAAACCGGGGCTAAAAACTACAAACGGCTGAAGACAAGGTTACCAGCAACATAAGCCAGCTCTGTGCAGAGCGTAATTCATAGTCTAGCTAATGACGCAGTAACTCAGAAGGCCATTTGACCAGTGGTGAAACCTCAGAAAGCTTTAGATTCTCCTGGAGGATCAGATAAATCCATGGATTGGAATTTAAGTAGATGTTTGGTGTGAAACTCTAGTCAAACTTCAAAGACAGCAGATATAGGTACTATTTTCTCAATCAGACGAGCGAATGAAAAGCAGACAGCTGACTTTGATTCACAGTTCAGCTGGACCACCATTCACTTCTAGAGAACAAACTAAGTCTACGAATTAAAACAGGAACCTGTCTTATCCGAATGAAAAGCAGACAGCTGCCTTTGATTCACAGTTCAGCTGGACCACCATTCACTTCTAGAGAACAAACTAAGTCTATGAATTAAAACAGGAACCTGTCTTATCTCTCCACAACTCAAGAGTCTCAAATGAGGGCTTGAAGCGGGGACGTTTTTTGAGATCCGACCACAATGTTGCATAAAATCGATGCAAACTTCCAACATGAGTTGACTTGACCAATCTACGCAAGCAGTGGGCTTTCTATCCCTTGACCTTATCTTTCTTCATCTCCACGCTTCGGATGAAAGTTTTTACTCAACCAGTAAATCGACTGTGATGCCCGCACTGGAGCATGTCGAGTTTTATTCATTCCGGAATAGTTATTTTGTCCATTCGTGTGAGTATTTGTCGATGAGATCACGTTGACATTTTATGCCCCACGAAGCACATTAATCTGGAATGTTACATAAGAAGCCAAAAAGTTGACCGATCAATTAGTTTCGCTTCAGTTTCCCACCCATACACGTTTGGATGGTCAATGAGTCTATTCAGCGTGGCGTTCTGTTTGGTATTTCAGAAATTACTTCGCGTTTAACCGTCAGGGTGTTTTCTTCGAGTACCAAAGTATGTCCAATCGATGCCCGATAGTTTCACATGTCGCACTTTTTATACAAAATGACAATGTGATTCGAACAGCCTGTTTGCATATCAAAGTTGTATCAAAATTGCCCAGCCTGTGTGTTGTGCGCCAAGCAGGACGTTGTGATGGTAATGATCAAACAGAATGCTTTAGGTATAGTCCGAAGTCGAACTGCTGAGAACGTCAAGTGTGACTGAATGATACTTCACCCCCTTCTACCAACTTCACTGAAAATTTCAGTTTGCGCACAGATATGTGACATCTGAGTTGATGGGGCACAATGGTAAAGGCTGAAAAACGACAAGTCACTAGCGTTTCGAAAGGTTTCATTTTGAGAGAAACAGTTTGATATCGTAAATATCATCCTGAGTGAAGCATGATGTGGCGTTTAGAGAACATCGCAAACTTAGGGTTCGGTTTCTGGCTAATATCAACTCAACGGATTTTCGAGTTGTCCCAAAAGTCTGGCTAATCAGTGAATGGATTGCAGTTTAATAATCCACGACGAAATTCCGTTCAACTTTGAGGTAATCTTTTCTAAATAAAGATCACAGATAAAAATACCTGATCACCACCACTTCTTCGTGTGGAAGATGAATCATCTTGGTATGTCTAGAAGCGATTTAATGAAGCGATCATTAACTCAAAAAAAACAATAAACCAAAAGAAATGCTCTCTCATTAAGTTGGGGTTTATTCACAAACTTTGAATTGGATTTTTCAAAGATCAGAGATTTGCAAGCCGGGATAGTTACTAGGTCGACTTTCGGGAAGTTGTGCAAAAGAGACAGATCTATCAGTTTAAAAGATGGTCGTATATTCAAGTGTTTCCAACGTGCATTGGTGAAGTTTGGGTAACACGACGCCTGATAACCAAGTTTCATAACCTTGCGCGGCAAAAGGTGGGCGCTAACAAGAGCAAAGCTCTGGTGCATTGCTCCTTGCGCTAACCGGATTAATTGCTTCATAATCGAAGGCAGACGTCACGACGGTGAAGTAAATGCAAATTTTATAGAACTCATGACCACTTGCAACAAATCAAGGATCATCAAATAAAAGCGCCGGTACAGCTTACCTATATCTGGATTCCTGTATGGCTAAAATCTTAGTTAATAACACTGAAGAATGAAAAAATCCTACTCACAGTGTGTTCTACCGTACTCAGTCATTCACATGAGGGGTTCTGAATGTTATTGTCAACTCTGGTACAGGAGATAAGCAAGGGCTGCAACAATATGGGGCAACCAGCATTCTCCAACGCACTCCTCCTGGAATCACGCAACCGGCAGGAAATGTTGCTTGCTTAGGAGAATTCACTGAAGTTTTTTCTGGTTGATTTTGTTTATTTTGCTGCGCTTGTCAGTTATCTTACAACCAATCGAGGGAGCGGCTGGGTGAGTGACCAAACGGAATTGTTTGTCGCCTTAAGTTTAAAAGAAGGAAACAAACAAATAACCCCTAAAGATAAACAAACCAACGTCTAGCGTCCCTCTGATCAGCAGCTTTTGGAACAAAGTCGTTTACCGCACGGCCAATTTAAATCGATGCGGACAGAATCCTCCGCACCTCCTGTTCGTGCACGCAGCCCTGATTGTTATGCCGGGACAAAATTTTCACAGACGTCAGATTTACTCGGAAAACAAACAATCACAGTCTGATTCTCAAACGTTCGTCATTGTAGGTACACCCAATATTCATAAAGAGGTTTTACTTCAGAGAGATCATCTGGAGGACAAACGTAACGTCATAATTTGTTACAGAAGCACAAGTGCGCTTCATATTTTCAAATAAACACAATGCCACCTGTTCTACACTTTCACCGTTCTGTTTGCATACTCGGTAGTACCCATTTTGAATGTCCACCATAATGCTACACGAATGATTTTTTTTAGCTATCCACATGCCATCATTTGTTTTAAAGCAATTCTGACTGTCAAAGATAGGCTGGTGGTGTTGTAATCGATTTCTAAACTTTTTTCCACTCAGGGCCAAGCTTTCGGAAAATACAAAACCTGCATGGATCTGGGGGCGCCCAAAGAAGATTTCCATCAGATAATACACTGAATTTCACGCCTCGAGATGGTGCACAGGTAAGTGATTGATTTTATCCTTAACAATGTTTACTACCCCAACGCGAAGCAATACCTTATACTTGACACCTTTTGAATTAGGCCAGTTTGAAATGAGTTTTTGTGCACAACATTATTTGGTACAAATAGTATCCCGATCATCGGGTGGGTGAGAAAGCCCTGTCAGCTATTGCTACTCACAAAGATTCAAGATAATGAATTAGTTTAGTTGTCAGTGGGATACGGTTTCCTCAAATGATATTGAAATTTTAATAAACCTACCGATAATCTCAGTAAGCAAGTCAGAAACTAAAAAAGGAATGTCATGTTATAAGCCCAAAGAGATCGCCATCAAGTGGAACATAAGGTTGATAGAAACTCGGGGACTGCGCCTACCTAGTCCCAAGAAGGGCGAAACCGGTCTTATGCTGTCGAGGAGTTTTCAGTAACCTTTTAGGTAGCTTCCTTTATAAAAAAAAATCATCGGATACTTTAACTCGTAGTCATTAACTCTTTGCTGACTGAAATACAGTTATTTTGAATGCTTAGTAACCATCTCAACTCCAGTTATACAGCAAATAAAATTTCGACCGAAGGCTTACTGTCTCGGTTTCCAACGAGACATATTTTTCCAGCGAATAGGGTTGAAGTGATATTTACCACATCAGGCTAGACTGGTTATCAGCCCTCCAAAAGCTTTTTGCCCCCTCTTGAGATGGATTTTAAAAAAAATCTTTCTTACATCGACCAGAAAAGACAAAGCATTATTAAGGGAACAGTCCTTCTCACGTGTTCCAGTCTACTATCGGTGAATTGACACACCGGTCTCAAAGTGAATTAAATAGTGCAACTCACTTTTCTCCCTAGGTTGCTGATTCGTTCAATTACAGGACCACAACATAGTGATTTCAGCTGGAGAAATAATGAACAATGTCCACGAAACCAAATCACTCCTCCGAAAATCAGTGTCTATTCGCTAACTCTCGTGATCAAGAAATGTAGTTCAAGGAATTTCACTTTCAGTAGTAAGACAGAGCGGACAGATTCAAAACGTTAGTGCAGACGGGGTAAAAATAAAATACGAATACGGCTGCATCAGCTGTCGCAGTTCTGGTGAACATATGATCGGGCAGTCCAGCTCGTTATACGTAAAAACTCCCTCTAGATTGGTTGCGCTTTTAAGTACACTCCATTTCCCAGGGTGATGGCTATATACAGTCAAGGTGATCTCGCAGACAGTTTTCCTCTGTTTAAGCAAGTAGGTGACGTTCTGGCGAGCAAACTTTGCATGAGGGAATGTTGGTCAGGGAAGACGAGGCCTGCGTCGTTGGCTTTAGGGCTACAGCGCTGGCTGTTATTCTCAGCAGCGTCAGAGTATATCAGGCAGTGGGTTATGACTAGTGAGACAAGCGTGCTTTTTTGTATCCTCGGAATTATTGATTGTACAGAATGGGAGGCCAGTGTCTTCCCAAATATCCATCTAGTTAGCGGTGTCTGTGTGGCACTGAAGAAGTGCCAATGGAAGCTTCAATGTGTCAATGGAACCTTCGCGTGGCTGAAACGAACCGAATTTCATCCATTTACACCTCACATCGTTCTGTTCACACCGATCCAGTGATTCCAGGTCGTCACCGAAAGCACACTTGTATTTATTATTAGCCTTTTTCAATATTGGCTTGCAATCCCACAAAAGTGCATTTAGTTTGGAATTCTCTCCTGTTCTTGACTTTTGGTACACATTTTGTTCCCACAATTATATGTAAAGCTGAACTAAAGACTTGGTAATTGTCTTGATGTCAAAAGCTCGACTCTGGTTCTTCTGGTTTTTCCCATAACACCAATGGGCGTTTTACTTGATAGTCCTATCGATGTTGTTCTTGGCCCCATTGAACTTCAAACTACCAACGAAAACCCGGATCGATCACAAATTTGATTTTAGAGCAGCAACTACATATTACGCGGACGATTTTGTTGCAATAGCTAATCACATACTGGTCCATGAGCAAAATAGCCAACCTTGAGTGGATAAGGTAATCCGATGCTAGTAGGTCCACAAAATGACTCGGCGACGCCACGAACTTTTGATAAAAGCCTTCGGATGTTAACAGACAGGGAGGGAATGTGTGATCACGAAATAAGAAATAAAATTAGATGTCGGCGTACAATATTCCGTACTAGAAAGCTAGTTGAGTAGAAATTCTACTGCAACATGGTGACACCAGTACAATGGGTGGAAATGGTTGAATGTAATGTCATCGTACTTTTGGCTTTCAAACTTAGGAAATCCCTTCATTACATTGCAACCTTCACATGTTAAATCCTGGGCTAAAACACAAATGTCTGTGCATAAAAAATGGTTGACAATCCAGTAAGAAAAGCGAGCTTACGAATTCCAGTCGAGTCGTTTTAAACTTGTTTGCTTCCTACGCCACATAATGTTTTCCCTCCCGTAGAATTCAGAACATAGTTTTCCACTTCTATCGTTTGTTTCCCGACACAGTTTTAAACTTGAATTTCTACGGTTTCTCAAGTCGGATTTATGATATTCACACCTAATGCCTCGTTTTCTTTGATCTGTGTCACCTTTGTATAAATGCTTTTAATGCGAAGATGCCAGGTGATAACTCTTCATAATTAGTATGCTTTCCCATGGGCAACCGGCTCAGGGCCTTGTGTAAAGCTGAACTCCATGTTAAGCAGTCTCATTTATGCAACAATGTAAAAATAAACAAGCATTAAAATTTTACTTTTCACATAAGAATATCTACTTCAGTGTGCAAAATCCTTTTTGGTTACTTGTATTCTTTTTTGTAGATTACACGTGTTAAAGACTTTTCGGAATGTGGTTCGTAATCCAGAATAAACGGCGGTGCATGGTGACTGTTCGTAAATGGTGGCTAAAAAACTTTAAAACGTTTGCCTTAGGAATCGGTTTCTGTAAATAATCTCCTATCAGGTAACTTCAGGTTGACTGTATTGTTTATCATGAACTTAATCCAGATCAAACCATCACATTTGATTAAGCTTTTGAGCGTTGGTAACCAGTACAGCCGATAAGTGGTTGATAAACGACGAACCTAAACCTCGTCAATCAGCAGGGCGATACGCAATTCGCAGGGAGGGGTTGTTTAGGTCACTCTGCTAATCAGAATCCTCATACAACATTCTACCCATATATTCACTTAAGCACCATACTATAAATTCAGCCAGCCTTACTTGTGACTCTCCAGCTTGCTTTTGTTGCATACTTCACATGGAGAGCAGTATATTTAATGGTGAGTTTCTCTGATCGTCTACTTTACTCCGGTGAAAGATGTGACTGCCCTGGGAATTGACAGCCCACAATGAGGACAAACTTTTCGGGCCAGAAGTAGAACGGCTGATGAGAAAAGGCTGTTACCATAACTTGCCTCCATAGTTAAATGGCAGTTGAAAACCCGTCTGCGATGAATCAGCTTGCGCTAAGTTGGCCACATATCGTCCATTAAATCTTCGTGACTTACAGCCGACATACCCAAAGAGAGCAAGGATAACCTGAATGGTACACCGGTCAGGAGTTATTCATGTGTTAAGTTTGATACGCCATACTTATTTTTAGCCTAAGGCCGAAAAGCCCGATAAAGTAACCGAAGAAGTAGACACCTGACACCGTGAACTGAAATAAACGTAGAGAGGCACATGGGGCGGTTGATACGGCCAGTCTAGAAAAATTACAAACAGCCCAAAAATATTACGCCACATGAGCCCAGTTCATTGGCTAGTAAGAAAATATTGCATGGTCATTACCTTGCCCTGTTTCTGTCCATAATCTGGAGCAGTTGCTAGTTGTTGCCTCCTGATTTCCGTAATGAAGACCTGTTGTGTCCATCGGATCCTCTGAACCAGGGGATTTCTACAGAAATTCAGAAGTAATAGGACTACCACAATGCATTAGCGGGATAAGGTGAACAATGCATTTATTTGGTCCATTAGAAAAACGAGGATTCAGGTCACAGGCTTCGTTTTTGACACCATCAAAACAATAATAATGAAATAAGAATTTTAATCAACCCACTCAAATTACATTGCTTAAATCGGACTTAATTAATCAGCACCTCAAACTATTCCAAAGTTCCAAAAAAAGAAAAATACTATTCTGTGAAATACGAACGGGTTATGAGCGTTGTATTACTTGGCACTCATTTTGACTATGTGAATGTGGTGAGGATTCGGCATTCTTTGCGATTAGAAATAGAAATTTCGCTAAAAAATTTCCGGCCAGTCAGTGAATACGGCTAGAAATTGTCTATACGTGTACCAATTACTGGATCAACGTTGCAATCCGCGAAAAGCCGATGGCCTTGAATGTTACATTGTGCAGCTTGAGCCTAGCATTCAAAGCACCACAAGAAATTATTCAAGTACAATGTATACGATAATTTTAGGAGAGTTCAGGGGAAAGGAGTTAGTTAGCTTTTTTAGGTGCTGATAGCAAGAATTGCTCCTTGATATCCATTTTTTGAATACTTCAACTGGCAACGGAATTCTATTCCAAATATCGCCAGCTAACCACTTGTGTTCGTGTGCCTGATCGCGACCAACTTGATAGCCTCTCCAATTTCGCATGTAGTGAACTGCAATAACAGGGTATTTCTGATGTTTTTGCAAGTCCGGGAGCTAGGTGAACAACATATGATGTGCGCCAACCAAGAGACTTTTTAACAACAGTTGCCAACGGAAATCAATATAATGCGTGCCTTTCCAGAGCGTTGGAACAATGCAAAAGATGCTTTTGTTGTGCTTGTTTCACAGCCTATAAATTAACTCAGGGTTTCGTCATTTCCAATAACTCAGAAGAGTAACAGATCAGATGCTAGCGAAAACCGCTAGATATCAGACTGAATTATTTATAGAAAACCCCGCGAAAATGTTACTTTGCATTCTGCACTTGGAGATTCGTTTGCTCGTGCGTGGGTTCGGAGCAAGTTCTGAGAAAATTATTTTGCGGAATGAAATCTTTTTATCCCGTGTTTGTAGCAAAA